TTTTATTGATTTTTTACAGAGAGGAAGGGAGAGGGATAGAGAGTTAGAAACATCGATGAGAGAGAAACATCGATCAGCTGCCTCCTGCACATCTCCTACTGGGGATGTGCCCGCAACCCAGGTACATGCCCTTGACCGGAATCGAACCTGGGACCTTTCAGTCTGCAGGCCGACGCTCTATCCACTGAGCCAAACCGGCTTCGGCACCTCTTCAGTTTCTTATGATGTCTTCATTTCATTTTGTTTTAAAAATAAACATACAAGAACGTTGAGTTTTTTAAAATTACAGTCTATGAGATTTGACGCATGTATAAATAATGTAACCATCACCGTAATCAGGATCCAGAACAGTTCTGTCCCTTCCCCAAAATTGCCTTGTGCTGACCTTTGTAGTCATAGCCTTCCCCCATCTGTAACTTCTGGAGAATCACGAATCTGTTCTTTGTTGCTATAGTGTTGCCTTTACCAGCATGTCATATAAATGGAATCACATAGTGGGTAGTCTTTTGAGTGTGAGATTCATCCATGTTGTTGCATGTATCAATAGCCATTCCTTTTTATCACTCAGTGCTCGTCTATCATATGGATGCACCACTGTTTATTCACTTGTTGAAGGAAATTTGGGTTGTTGACACTTTTTGACAACCATCACTTGCGCTGCTATAAACATCTGTGTACACGTTTTTGTGTAAACATATGTTTTCATTTCTCCGGATTAAGTACCCAGGAGAGGGTTACTAGATCATTTGTTTATGTATGTTTAACTTTATACAAATATGCCAGTCTGTTTGTGTTCCCATCAGCAATGTGTGGGAGTTCCGGGTGCTCTGTACCCTCACTGACCACGTTATTACCAGTTTCTATTTTAGGGTTCTAATAGCTGATGGCGGTATTTCATCATAGTTTTATTGTGCATTCCCTAAAGGCTAAATTGTTGAGCATTCATTCTATGGGCTTATCTGTCATACATTTATTCTCATTGGTAAGATCTGTTAAAACATTTTGGTCCCCCTTTTTAAAAATCTTACTGTTGAATTTTGAGAATTCATGTATTCTGGATATAAGTCCTTTGTTAAAAAGACTATCTTCCATTAAATTGACTTTGCATCTTTGTGAAAAATCAGTTTGCCATATCCTGTGGTTATTACCCATCTTGCATGTCTACTTTTTCATTAACTTATCATAGTTATTGTAAATTCCCTATCTGATCATTCCAAACTCTGTATCAGACCTGTCAGGTTCTGATGCTTGCGTTGTCTCTTCAGACTGTATTTTCTTCTTGCCTTTAAACATGCATCGTAATTTTTTGTTGAACACCAGACATGATGGATCAGGCAGTCGGAACTGGGGTGATTAGGCTTTTAGGGTGAAGTTTTATGGTAATTGGACCAGGAGTTGGCCTGTGATTATTGTTTGCTATAGCTGGAGGCTTCTTCTAGTTTCCTTGTTTTTTGATGCGTCCCTGTTGTCTTTGGGTTTTCCTAAAGACTCTTTACATAGAGTCCGCTTTGCAGCTAGCTCTCTCAGTCAGAATCCCTGTTGTTATATACTGGAGCCCTGTTGATGTGGGTAAGGTGTGGAATCCCTGTTATATACTGGAGCCCTGTTGATGTGGGTAAGGTGTAGGGAAAGGGAGGTGTTCTCTGATCATATAATGAAATCACTTTTTTTTTTTTTTAGTAGACCTGAGTCCTCGTGCTGTGACCTTCAGAAGCGGTTCTTAGCCTTCCCTCTCCCCTTCCCCTCCCCTCCCCTCCCCTTCCCTTTCTCTCCTTACAAGAGACACGAAGGTTCATGGGGCTGGAGTTGACTAAATGCCTTTCCTCCAAATCAGATAAGACTCTGTAAAGAGAGTGAGCCTTTGTTACGGCAACCACACTGGGTGTTTTAGAAATGGTTAATTTTCCCTTCCCTGCCTGGAACCATGGTGGGGCTCCTGGAGATAAAACCCATAGAAGTGCGGGGGCCCCCAGAAGAGCTGAAACCATAAGGTCTGTTGATTAATTTTTAAGTGTGAAGATTTTCCAGTTACCTTTTTCTTATTGATTTCTGATTTCCATTGTGGTCATAG